ATATTTATCAGACAGGAGATAACAACAGGGCTCCCTAGTGACCCTGTCCAGTGAAGTTTACTGTACACACAGAGAGCTGATGCTCCAGGAAACAGAGGCTCAGCACTTCACACTGCAGGCATCACTTTGTCAGTGCCCACCCTGCCACATCTGTAATGATAACACTTCACCATTTAAGAAATAGGAAGAGAAAAAAAACCCACATACTGAAGAATTCCATTGAACTGGACTGACCAAGAAGCTCTACAAGCGTCTGGTAAACTTAATTAATTTACTAAACAACTCCAGTTAGGAAAACTCAAAAAAACCCCATATTTATGAAGACCATTGTGTTGCACAAGAACTTAGACATTCCCCTAACTTCAAATATTTACAATCATTCAAGCCAGAAGTGTCAAATAGTCATAACATTAACAGGCAGGCATTTTAAAAATAGAACAAGAAGCCAGCATTAGTATCATGCTCTAGAATATTAAAAAGATTAACACAAATAAATAAGCATGCACTTCTGTAACTATTTTTAAGACTAATTACACTACCTCCAACAGCACATCACAGCTACTATTTTTGAAAAATGAGACTGTCATCCTTGAATCTAAGCAAACATTTTCCATATTACCAAGTGCTATTTTTAAAAAACATTCATACAATCTTGTCAAACTGGCATGCTTTGTCTTAAATTAGAAGTTAAGGCACAGTAACAGAATTTTAAAAGAATATTCTTAAAATTGTCATTCCTTAGACAAAGTGTGGCTTGCATAAGGAGGTTTCAGGAATTATTTTTATGTGTTTTTTTCAGTGATACTGTGGAACTAGTATTCCCTTAATAAGCCTTGGTTTTGCTGCTTTTTTATTTCGTGTATCATGCTGAGTTACTTACACAAAATGGTAAGTAAAAAACAGGTATCAAACTTCCTATTTGTAAATCTTACCTAAAATCCAGAAGCAGCCACACTGGTCTTTCTAATTTAGTACAATCAAACAAGAGTTAGGCACATGTGACTTGATCATAACTAGTTCACTGCAATAGCTACATGGTATGCTGAAATTTTAAATGCCTTAAAATTCATCATGCAATAGAGATTAAAGTAGTTGGAGTGTCATAAGATGAAAAACAACAGTTTCAGCAAGATATAAGTATTGCAAAGGGGAGAGAGGTCACAGTAATCAGACATTAACCAAATAAGCATTTTCCTCAGAGGAAAACAAAGCAAGCAAAGTGAGAAAATAAGACTCTGGCCTTGGTTAAGAGAAAAAAGCAATACCAGATAACTTTCTCATCTCTTAGAGAATGGTCTTGCCAAACTAAGAGAGTAGTCAAGAGAAAGATGGTGTAGAAAGACAAATAAAATCAGGTTTTAGTCAAACTGGGAGATGTGCAACTATCTGGGAAAGTTGGAAGAGGATAAGGTTGGGGTGAAGGAAAACGTGTGTGTGTGTGTCTGTGTTAGTACACTATTTGCAGGCAAATGCTTTTTCCGTGCCTCAATGGTCTCTTTAAAAATTTATGCATGAATTCACTCAATTATAATCTTGCCAAGAATAAAGTTTCTTTCCAAGTATCAGAAATAACATTTGTGCATTGATGGTCAAACAGAAAAGCAATTTTCACTTTTTAATGCTTCAAAATGGGTAATTTCCTAGAAAACACCTGTTCTTCTTTTACTTCCTCAACTAATTCTTAATGTATTCTCCATGATAGACTGGAAATACCCAAGTAGCAGCAAAACCCCATACTTTTTAAAGCTAGAATATGAAATATGTTCACATACAAAGTCCTTTATGTCAAATCACAGAAGTAACAAGTAGCAACTTCTTATTTGTTGACTTCACATTCCCCAATTCAAACAGGCCAAGGTCAATAGCATTCCACATGCCAAATCATTCACAAGGAAGGGGATACTTCTTGAAGTATCTTGAAGTGTGCACATGTTTGTGTGGCCCTAGACCTGCAGGATTAATTATTCCAACCTCATCAGGACAAGTACTGCTTCACTTACTTGTGCAAATAATTCCTGTTGCTGCCTTAGTAGCTCTTCTTCCGGAATGCCGAGGTTCTCCAAGCGTGAACTGGCCTTTCTTCTCTTTAGTGCTACTGTTTTGCATTCTTGTAAGACCTCTTTTACTTCACTGATATAGGAGCCAAACCCCAAACTTTCTAGTGCTAGAAAGAAACAAAAAAAAAAAAAAAAAAAAAGAAAGAAAAGGCATTGTTTACCTTTTACAAAGCTTCTGATAATAGATACTGATTTTTTTACTTAAAAGCAAAATATTTGGTAACTCTCCTATCATCTGGTGACAAAAATCTCTATTCTTGAAAAGACCTGACAGCTATTTTCTCCTCTCTCTTCTGCTATGTCCTTTAGGAATTCGTGTTTTTAGGCTAAAAAATTAAGGGTCATCAAGTACAACCAAAGAAGCTTGCACTTGCAGAGGATTCAGGGCTTTCAGATACACTTTGTTAGAGACAGTCATTATTCTCCAAAAGACCTCTTTTTCCCATCCTTTCTGTATCAGAATTGACATAATTTATACAGCTAAGAAGTCCTTCCTATCTGAATTTTCTCTCAGAGATTCTACCTTTCCAGTTTTTGCAAGTCTTCAGTAGAAGGTAAATTAGCAACCTATAACAGAGCTGAACTGACACATGTAAAATGATCACAAATCCTTCAAAAAGGCAGAAATAAATAATACTATGTTGGGTTGCCGAATTTTAACTTTTGTCTTTTAGTATCTAAATTGCTATATATAAAATGCATAGTTCACACATATAAAGCTATATAAAGTTATGTATAAGGTCTTAATTATTATTTATTTATAATTTATTTATAATATTATTTCTGAACAGAACCCCTTCTATTTATCTCCACATTAAAATGTATTATGAAGCTAAAATCTTGCACTTCTAATCCCAAAGAAATTGTTAAGGCAGCTATATGCTGCAACAACACTTTTTTTAAAGAATGCAAAGGTAGCAGAAAGGATGATAAAAAGCCAGGTAGCACATGTGACAAAAGGCAGTTTCCTCATGCACCATTTACTATGACATGCCTCCACACACACCCAAAGTGAACCTATTGCAGAATATACTGGAAACATTACATAAACACCAGTTATACTAGAAACAAGCATCAGTTTAATAAAAAGCATGGTTAATTTTCTAGCATTTACACAATTCAGAGTGTACAGTGTAAGAGTTGTTTTAACCTTTATCTTCACTTCAAACTTTTGTGACAAGCTATTTAGGAAATAGCACTAAACTGCACAACAGAAATCAACAGCTTGTTGCAAACAAGATCTTACTTACAGAAAGTCAGACAATATTCTAACACTAGTTCTGGAAGCAACATTTTCCTAGCCATAATTACAGCAGCATGTCATTGTATCATAATCTAAACAATAGCCCAAAGGTATTCCCTAAGTTTTCAGCTTCCAATTTGTTCTAAGGAAGACAACTCACACTGTCTTCAGCAGGGCTGTGGGTGCTGCTCTCTAGTCATACAGCTCTACCTTCCCTTTAACAGAGAACACCTGGCAAAGGAATTCACATAACACTTATTTCTTAAAAAAAAAAGGGAAGTTAAAAGACAAACTGATTTAGAGATAATCAAATTACTTCAGAGACAGTATGCCAGTTCAGCCTCAGCCCACACACAGACACTGGAAACACTTCTTCCAATTAACCCACAGTTTCTAGGAGAATTAACAAAAAACTTCAGAAACTTGTTTCATCCAGCCTCAGCAGAGAGGAGGCAAATCCATGTCTCATAGTCCAGAACTGGTTATCTTAATACTCTACAGATATTTAAGAACTCATTCAATTTTAAAATGTAAACAGTAAACTTTTGTAAGCCATACTATTTTAACCAAACTGAAGAAATCTACAAGTCTAATGTCACTAAGGAAAACCATCATGGCAAAACCAGAGGTCAACCAGGGTTGGCAATCTGATGCAGAGTATGAACAGCTGCTGAGTCTGAAGTTACCAGCAAGATGGGTTTTTACAGAAATTTTACATGGCCCCTAAAAGAAAATAAATTAATAGAAAGAACTTACAATTGTGTATTATATATAACAGACACATACAAAAATAAATTTCAAAACTCCCGTGTGATACAACCAAGACAGTTTTTTACAATTATTCAATATTACAAAGCTATGAAGAACCATATATGCATCATAAATCTATTGCATCAAAATTCTACCGCCTGTGAAAAAACTGACAAAGTTTACCATCTTCTTGGAGCACATGAAGGCTTACAGAACACATGAATGGAAGGAATATGAATCTCTTTATACCACCATGGTGCTAAAATGTGAGACATGTGGTTACTCCTCTATCAGAGCTGCTACTTCATCAAAACTCAAAGGCTTCCTATTTTTTGAGCCTTTAAACATGCCATCCTACCCAGATTGCTGAAAATTAAGTATCTTCCTGAGGCTAGAATTATCCCACCAAATGTAAACAGCTGAATTCCAAAACATAGCATTTGGGGGGATAACACAACTCATATTTACAAACACCAAATCACAATTATCCTTTCCCTGGTTTCCTCCTACTCTTAATGACTTCATAAAGGTGCAGGTCTCTGAGTAATCAGTGACACATAGTTAGTACTACTTTTATTTTATAAAATCAAGTCGTTAGTATCTGAGACTTTTAAATTTTTATGCTCCTTTCAAAGAAAAAAAGAACTTCCAAAATAAAATCCCAAACATCAACAGCTGTGTGGGATTTTTTTTTAAATTAAGTGATAATATACATACTGTCAGTATCCTAACAGTCGATTAAAAGAAGCGACAAGACTTGGCATCAGTCCACAGCCTACCTTACTCTGCAACAGTTCCATGTAGACCAAGTAATCAAAGTAACCAACTTCACAAAAAAGGTGATTTTACAAGTCATCATTTTCAGAATTCAATGAAAATTTAATTTCTCATAAAAAGTCTGCTTTGTCACAGGTCATATAAAACTCAAAGAATTCTATTTTCTGTTCCAGGATGGAAGAACATTCATTTGCTTACTAGAGCTGCAGATTCACAGCTGGGTTCCTGATGGTGGAATTCAACAATAAACGTGGAGCTCTCCACTTAAAACTATTACATAGCCTTGATGCTTTTGGGTACTCTCCAAGAAAGCTGTCTTGCATTTTGTTACCAATAGTAAGTGTTGGCAAAGTCTGAGAACATCTATCAAATCAGACCTCTAATGGGATGCAAGAAGCCTCTGCTTTCCCTTCCCTATGCTGTTGACAGCACTGTGCCAGTGCTACCACACAATAAAACACAGCAAGGACCTCATCTATCTGAAGTATAACCCAAGGGTAGAGAGAGAGTTCTTCGTCGGCAGATGGCCACACAACCACTTTAACAGTGCAGCAAAGGAAGGGGTGTCTCAGGCAGCACTGTACCAAACACCTAAGCATAGTGACAAAGTGCAGTTTCACCTCACCTCTAATACAGCCCAGCAGCAGAGTGTCACCAGCTGCAGAGTGCCTCTTCCCCTTCTTCTGGCCCAGCAAAATACTCTTCCTACTTCTTGTTCCCAGTCTAGTAACTTCTTGTTTACAGCTCCAGTCAGCCAGCAACTCACCTGAGAGGAAACCCTGCTCTGCCCTAAATTCTCAAAAGCCTCAGGGTCAGTGGTATCTGCAGGTGCCAGATGCAGCCCTTGGAGGGTACAAAAAACTCCTCTTGGAAGCACCCTGTGCTTATGTGGACCAGGTGATGGCTGTCAGCCTCATCTGACTTCTAAGCATTCAGAAAGAAAAAGATACATGGATGGTCACAGCAAACAGATTCAAACTGCCTCATTTGTTAGCACCGGTGTCATGAAGCTGCATTAGGAGGCATTCAAAATAGCAAGTATCTAGAATGTATGAAGATGGATGAAAATGCTGAAATACTCTACCTATACACACAATCCCTGTTTCCAAAACTGGTAACCAAAACCCTCAAACCTCACAGAGGGATCTTCTGCCAACTGACAGGCATGTGAAAGGAGCTAATAGCAGCTAGAGCTTCCTTAAACATAAGGACACCAGAAAATCCTTTCCATTTCTAGAACATTACAAAAATGGATACACTGCAAAATTTTACCAGAAAGTATAGATTTAATTTGAAAATAACTTTTCCTAACTCTAAGATGCAATAACACAAGGACATAGAACCCAGCAAAATACTTGGCATGGGACCATCTGCTGACATTATGCACAATCACTTTAGTTTCAATTTCTCTTCCAAAAAACCCAGACCAAGTCTAGGACAGCGATAGGTGAAATCTTCTCTATGGACCACCAGTACTGGGCACAAAACACTCTCACATATAAACCCTTTATTGCCCTCAGCCTTAAAGATCGTGTCTATTCCTGTGTTAAGAACTAACCTCAAACATTTTTTGTGGTGACTTGAAGAAATCCATGTATTAAAGAGCACCACACCTAAAGTATGCTTCCATGGGCAAGCACAGGTTTTACTTTACATCCTAGGCTTCTGTGATGGAACTACTTTGCTAAACTTTCAAGCTTACATGTATTTAATTTAACATTAAAGTTCATGCATGCTACATATTTTCTTTTGCTGTTCATGACCCAGTCAAGTACTTGAATATCTTCTGGTGTGCAAGGTAACAAATTTCAAGCAAACCAGTTTTTTTTCTGTTGTTTCAAACAGAAAATATTGCTTAAAAAAAAAATCATGCAACGACAACATTTTTAAAACTAACTTGATACCATCACAGCCCTGAAAATAGCTCTGCTACAAATGCTGCTGTTAATATCTCTCCTAGGCAGCCGAGTAAAGTACTCTTTCACTACTGCTGCTATAAATTTGTTTGCAGCAGACACTGGTATCAACAACCCTGGCAAAAGAAACAAAGCAAATGAGTTCTGACAAACGATGCCTAATGCAGACTTCAGGTTGTGACAGAATTTAAAGAAAAACAAATGAGACAGAGAGAGAACTCGCCTTTTATTCAAGCAAGCAGAAGTGCAAGTCAACAGCACAGAAAGATACAAGGACATAGGTCACGTTTAAATGCTTTCTGCAACAGATACGAAGATCCAACATTAAACAAGGAGACTGTAAGGACAGCCCTAAAGAAATATACTCTTTAGAGATTCCAGACAAGACTAGCATGGAATAAAGCCTGGGCCCCACATAATCAATCTCCAACTAGAAAGACATTTACTACATTCAGAATCTTAAAACACGTTGCATATCCATTCGAAAAAGCAGACCTTGTTTCACAGGTACGAGGAAGAGATCTGGTGACTTCACTCAGAGCATCACAGGCTTCTCTGAAGCACAAAATCAGAGCTGGTCCTGAGCACACCCAGCAGCCGCTCTAACCACACAAAGACAACCTCGCTTGCAGTGCGACTGGCAAGCCGGAGAACACACGCTTCTCTCTCTCTCTTACGAGACCCTGCCTTTTGTGTTCCACGTAGCTACAAGCAACCGGAGAGGAAAAAGGGGCAGCGGGACAGGAGCGGCACACAGGTGTCCGACCCGGCAGCGGCACAGCGCCCGCGGAAGCTCACCTTGTATGACATGCTCCGGGGATATAGTTTTCTTCTCCGATTTGTTGCAGATTTCGTTGGCCTCGGAGGAGATGAGGTGGATGAATTCAGTGCAGCAGTTGACCACCAGCTCCCGGGCGTCGTTCGCCACGCGGACGTTGGGCAGCGTCTCTTTGATCATCTTGTTGATGGCAGCCCTGGGGATGGTAAGGTCGTCGTCGTTGCCGGACGACGAGGCCATCCTGGCTGCGCTCGGCTCACGGGCTGCGCTCAGCACCCGCGCGGGGCTCCAGGGCGCGGGGACCCGGCGGGGGCGGG